TCGTCGATCTGCATAACTTTTGGCCGTCAGCCCTAGCCAAATGCCACTTTTGACGGCACGGAAACGCCAACCGACCGGGACCACGATGAAGGTAGGGACGCCTCGGGAGGGGATGGGAAACTCGCATGATACGCTCTCGGAAGATGCTGGTCTTTGAAATGAGATGGGTTAAAAACTGAGATTCCTCTTGCTTAGGTTTAATATTTTATTCAACCTTTTTCCTTAAGCTAAACGTCCCTTCCCACTCAACACGTTGGTCGCCACGTCACCCATATATGGGCGACAATGCTTTTCAAAGAAGTTCTTGAATTTCGATAACGATACAAAAGTAAATACTACAATAAATATTTGATCCTGTAGTCTCCAGAAATTTTCAAGAGTGTTGGCTGCCAACCATCGTGTTAACACATTGTTGACCGACTTGCATTATCTATTTCGATTTATGAAACCCATATAGAATATTGCAAAAGCTTTGCTCGTGTAGTGAAATATTTCCTTTCAGTTAGTTACGTTGGTCAAATATCCATAAAGTTTATCGAAGTGTATTTATTTATTTATTTATTTATTTATTTCAATATATACGAGCATAGCCCATTATGAAATAAATACAGTGTAGCAATTATAAAATTATATTTAGATTATTTTAATTTCGCATTCAGTTAGCCAGTGACATGAAGTCACTTCTGTGTAAAATTGCCGGTCAACAATGTGTCACCCGAAAGTCTCCATACTTCACACATTCATCAAGAACTCTACAATAATTCCACCAACGATAACACGAGTCTTTACCGCGCTCCTCAGGCCGTCACCTCTAAATCACCGTCCAGTTATTCCCAACCTAAATCCACTCCTCATTCGTTAACCCAGCCGCGTATCTAATCGCCGTTCGCATTATCGCGTTACCGGTAACACTAACGAACTAATTGAACGTTACACGCGCGTTCCCACGACCGCCTACAACTCGGTGCAGCGAACACCTCGGTCTAATCATACACAGTTACGCGAAAGGTGCGCGAGTCCAGCACCGATGAAAACCGTCGAGAACCGGTCTAAGCTCGCGATAAGTCGACGGGATCGCCTCCGGAAAGGCTCGCGAGGTGAACCGCAACCTGGTGATAAGGAATCGCGAGGGTTTACCGAGACGCGTCGGTTCGGGGACAGGGATAACCTATCGATGTCGATCACTCGCGTGACCGCGAAGATAACACCTGTGGCTGTCGATAAATCATGTCAATTATATATTGTTTATGATCCGTTGTTGGCCGAGTGGATACGGAGATGCGATCGGATCGGCAGCGCCTGTTCATAGCGGAAAGGAAGGCTTCCTCAGAAGCAACGCGGAGGAAGCTAAGGTCGTTGTCAGGTCTGCTGATAATTGGGTGAGCAAAGCGACACGACACCCTTCCGAGCGCGCCAGCGGATCTGCGTTGTTGCGGGGACCCAGGGCCGTCGTAAAGAGTGGCTGCCACCATCGGGGCATCAGGAGCCCTCAGTCAGGGCCTCGTCCGGACAATAAATCTGGCCGTTCGGTGGGTAATTGGGTTCACTCGGTGAGATCAATCCGATACTGTCTGCCTCGTGTCCGTCTGTCCATCCATTCGCCGCTTGGCTCCTCTCTTTTCTCCGTTTCGTCGTCTCCGCGGTCGCCTCGCTTCTCCCTTTAGCCCAAACCACGTCCACGTTTACGTGAATGCCCGCAGAAGGAATTCCAACCGCCTGTCACCGCCGGTACCTCGCGATTGTTTAATTATTTTTATTGCTAACCACGGGGCTGATTGGACGCTCCACCAATCGTGCCTTGTAACCGCTCGACACTGCAAGAAGCATTTTTTAAAGCGAGGACTCGTATAACCACCGAAATCCGTATGAAATTCGTATGAATCGATTAGGAAGATCAAAATAAGCAGCTCCAAGTTGCAACTCTGGCAATTCTAGACC